GTAATAGAAGCAAGACTGTTTAAATGTGCAATTCCTAGAGAAGGGTGGCCAGTGTCTGATGGAAATTTTAAATGATGTCAATTACTGTTCACCCCTTATGCTGGTATGATTTATTTTTGGCAATGTTCTCATTTATTATACATATTTGTATGGTGCTTTGCCATCTGCAGAGTTTCTCCAAGTTTTCTTTAAATGAGTTTTACTCATCCTCTCCAGAATGTTATGAATATCATGTAAGATAACACATTCAATATTACATAGCTGGTTATGTGATTGTCAATGAGAATCATGTTATTGTTTCTTTGGGCTTGTTTTTTATATCTATCTCCCACACTGTAAACCCCATCAGTCCCAAAAGTATGCCTGTTTTGTTAACATTTTTGCTGTTTGTTATTTGGTTTTGTCAACAACTGAGTACCCCCAATATAGGCATGCATTAGGTACCATACTCACCATTCATTTATTATCATTGCATGTTCTTTATGAGGATCCAGGAGGATTTCCTGTATGTCTTAAACTAGGTCAGAAAAAGTCCACTTAAGCATTGAATGTTTTTATCTTACATAAACTCTGAAATGTGTAACTGACCAACATTTCCTTATTTTGTGGATTACTAGACAATTTATACTCAAGATTGTAATTCCTACTCCCACCTTATGTCACATACTTATTCCCTTTCTTCTTCCTTTCCACCATCCCTCTGAGGCTGGCTTGTTGTATTTTATAGAAGTTGATAAAACTCCTCCTTTGTTGGAACAGAATGAAAATACATAAATATGCCTCATTACATCTTTATGATAAATTGTTATTAATCCATGAATTAATGAAATTGATGGTAGGAGATATCTGAATAAAGGACCCAGTCTGTAGCATATAGTTCAACCTTCGATATTGTGCTGACTTGTATTTGTATCTTGATTTCCCCCAGGCCAAATAAGTTTGTGTGGAGAAATCCTCATGCCATGAGAAACCCCTCAGTCCTGAGCAAAGTGGAATGGTTAGTCACCTTACACTAAGACCCCCCCCGGGTTGAAAGGTACCCCTCACACTCCACATGAGAGCAGCTCTCGCATCTGGCCCTCCAGCATCTGCCCTTGCCTACCTGAACATACTTGAGTGCACACACATGAACACATACGCGCCTATAGCCACTGTGACCTTCCCCCACCGTAACCTACCCCCTACCCTTCCAACTTATCCAAACTTTCCAGAGAGAAGGAAAATGTTCTTGTCCTTAGCTTGTGACCTTCCCCACTATCACTCTTTGTAACATTCAGTTTTCTCTAGTAAACAGAGGGCCTAGGGAGAAACATAGTGCTCTCAACCCTGAGAACTGGATTTCAGATATTGTTGGCTTCTGCCTTCTAAATCCTTAGGAATAATCAGGACTTAATATGTTTTTCTGTGTCAGCTTGTCATTCTGAGGAAGTGACAGCTGAGGAAAATTCCTGGTATGAGCTCCTTACCCCTCCTTAGCCAACCCTTCCCCGACATGACTGCTCCCTTCACATCGCATCTTCAGCCCTTCCACCAGACTTGGGTCCAGCACAGCATCACCATCTGCTCATGTGACACCAACATGATGGCCTCCCTCCATGCAGCCTTAAATGGGGTTGGAGAAGGCAAGGGAGAGGGCAAGTGTGCCAGCTGGCACTAGTAACATAAAACTGGACTGTGATGAATCATGGCCCAGAACAGGAAGGAAGAGGGAGTGTGTGGGTGGCTAGTTGTGTGGCATCCTCACTGCAGCAAAGTAGATCTTTCTGCTCATGGAAGAAGAATCTATATGGCGTGTCTTTTCCTGTAGCAAATGCATCAGCTTCTTTTTAACATCTTGTATCAAGAAAATGACCACTAGAAAAGCAACCTAGAAATCAGTATTCTAATGGTTCGATTTTTTGCTCCTGTGCATCTCTACCCGGCATCATTGGGAACTATCCAGGAAAGTTGGAGGCTTGCTTGAAAATGACAGGGACAGGTTTCTGGCAGCTCAGGGGAAGATGAAAGACAAGTTGACACATGGTGATGTTTCAGTTCTCTCCCAGAGGCTGCCAGAGTTCCCACCTACTTCACCACTCTGAGTCTCCAAGGTTCTCAGTTCTTTGCGCCTGTAATTGATTGATTGATTGACTCATTCCATTCTCTCTGAATGCTAATTCTAAGATTAAATTGGTCAGACAACTATTCACGATTTGTCCTATAGATTTCAAATTTAGCCGTACGACTTTGACTTTTTGTTGTCATTATTGTTAATTTTGATGTATTTGATGTTGACAGTTCTATAGCATAAAAGTTTCTATCTTTGCTTTTTTGTTGCATCCCTTTACATATATATGCATACATGTGTGTGTGTAAGTATACATACACATATAGTTACATTTTTGTGTATGTGTTTGCTTTTGTTTACTTCACTTTCACCTTTCCCTTTTTTAAAAATGGAAGTGGTAACATAAAGCTACCCAATAAAATATAATAACTTATCCTTCCTACACACAGGAAACTAGATGCCATTTTTGCGTTTCTTTTATTAAAAAAAAAAAAAAAAAAAAAAAAAAAGCTCTGATAGGTCTTTCCTCTTCTCCAAGCAAATATTTCCCAAGAGCTGATGAAACAGAGAGAAAAAAGTGTTTACAGCTACAGGGATGAGCCACACAGACATCCCAGATCCAGCCCCAGGCAGAAGATTGAGGTAGCTCTAGAAGCAGAGCTTCAAACTATTGAAATCCTAGCTTTCATTCCAAGACATTCAAATCAGCTGGCCAGGTTCCTGCCCATCAGGTGGATTCAATTGACTAGTCAAACACAAAAGAAGTAGAAATCTCATGGCCTTGACTTTGTAATCAATCTGCAGATAAGAGCACCCACTAGCAAAGGCAGCTTTCCAGCAATAATCTTTCATTCTTACAGGAAATAGACTTATACAAGTCTCTTCTCTGTTTCTAAGTGGAAAAGAAAATAACCAAATGCTTGAAAAGGCAGAGATGACTAGCATGAGCATTGGCGATTTACAAGTGATGCCAATAAATAACTTCAAGCACCAAGAAATGCGCAGGAGTGCCCAGAGATTACTGGAAATCGTGACAGATGGTGAACTAGGGGTGAGGGATGGAGGGAAAAAATGCCAGATATAGAAGAATATAATCCTTGTAGAGCCAGAAACAAATCAGATATGAGGGACAGTGAGTGGAAAGCATGATGTGTGAGTGGAAAGCATGGTGATAGAGGCAGTCAAAAGGTAAAGACCTTTATAGCAGGATCCTTAGGAGTTGGTATTGAGAGACACAAGAACCAGGAGAATCTCAAGGCTTCGTCTCCAGAGAGAAAAAACATTGCAATAGAGAAAATCAAAGGATAGGGAAGGATTCTTTAATCCAAATGACACTTAAGAAAATGATGCTTTCAGCTAGGAAGGGAGGAGTTGCAGATACCCTGTTTCCAGAGCGAAGCCTCTGTTTCACTGTTGTGGCTAAAGAAATGAATATGACAACAGATAAAAAGAGCAACACTTTCTCTCATATGGAACTGAGCTGCTTTGCCTCGCCAAGGAGCTCTGCACCTTTTTATAAGGGATACAGTTTTGCTCCATGTTACAGATCAAACACCCACCCCCAAACCCCCCACCCCCGCCACACACACACACACACACACACGCACTAGGGATCAGAAAATGTGTGTTTCTAGTCCTGGCTCTGATCCTAACTAGCTTTGGGTTACTCATCCAGGGCTGGAGTAAAGCTTTAGACTTCCTAAACACTGAAAAAGTTATGGTTTCCCCCATTTACCACTTACATCCCTCCAAATGAAACCAATTTTAAGCCATAAAAAAAAAAAAACCCTACCAAGATGTTTTCTTCCCATAATGATTACATTGATACGTTTAAACAAATCAACACTTAAAAATATTTTTTCCTCTGCTTTAGTTCCCTTGCTTTGCTGATAGATGCATAGTCTGAGCGCGAATTTAGTTTACTTGTTAGATAACCTAGTAGTGATCAGTTCTCCTTGCTGGGCAATAGTTTTCTCATCTAGGAAATAAAGATATTAGATGGGAAGATCTCCAAGATCCCTTTCTGCTAGATTTTCTGTAATTTCACATCCTCATTGACCTGTTTTCGATCTACCTTTATCATTATCTTGACATTTTAGTGTTTCCCAAATATGAATAAAAAAGGAATGTGGCATTTCCATATTCTCTCACACCACATGCCTACTAAAGGCTATATCTAACTTTGGCAAGTACCTAGGATGCTTCTGAGTCAAAATTAATGGATGATTGTTTCCCTTTTTATATCAACATTTTATGAAGGGTATATGTCTATAATAAGATATGATCATCAGCAGAGACCTTGATTTACTGGTGGAGAGCATTTTGGGATAATGGCAAAAACTTTTTAGAAAGGGGTAAAGATTGTGACCAATGTAGAATATTTGCACTGTTCTCATCCCTGCCAATTATATAGGGTGTGGTTCAGAAATTTTCCTTTAACCCTTCTAGGCTTTCTCTTTCCTATCCACTTGTTCATTCATTCATTCATTCATTCACTTGTGGTTCATCTGCCTTTAATAATTTATAATAAGGTAAGTCTGTCACTGATAGTTTATGAGATTTCTCATGAAACATTCTCACATCTACATCTTACCAATTCTTATGGCACTGTCCTTGGACTTTTCACCTGTCATGAGTGAAAATATCACTTTGGTGCCCATGCATTCTCTGAGCAGGTGACAGCAGAAGCTGGGTCCCTACCAGCCTTGTTACGGTCTGCCTCTCAGATGGGAACTGTTCATTATTTGCTGGAAGGTTTATATAACAGATGTTACCAGGCAGACCAGCTAGCACACACTCCCTCAGCCCAGAGCACGCAGAGCCAGGCACGCACACACTCTGCCAATACTGATCCCAAGAGAGCTGCCGGGGTGATGGAGGGAGTGTGCTCTGGGGGGCGAGTGCTGCTCCAAAGCCCTGCTAATGTCTCTGTGTGGCCATGCTGTATTTTCAGCTTGTCATCATGGCCGGGACAGTGCTGCTTGCCTACTACTTCGAATGCACTGACACTTTTCAGGTGCATATCCAAGGATTCTTCTGTCAGGACGGAGACTTAATGAAGCCTTACCCGGGGACAGAAGAAGAGAGCTTCATCACCCCTCTGGTGCTCTATTGTGTGCTGGCTGCCACCCCAACTGCTATTGTAAGTACAGACATAGACATCCCTCTTTGTTGTCAGATTTCCAACATTTCCTCTCTGCCTTTTTTCCTCTTTCCTCTTTTCCTGGGCATTCACCAGCAGCCTTATCAGGGGAGTCTGTCTCAGCCCAAACCCAGCGAGTGGAGCTCTGCATAAAATTGCATTCAAAAGATCTTATCTTTTATAAGTGCTTTTTGTTTTTTGGTATCTGAATTTAAATATATGTATATCTGTGTATACACACATATATATTTAAAATCATATGTGATGATCATAAATCAACAGGTATGATTAGCTGATATGTTAAGAATACTGTGTTCTTGAAAAACTGTGCTGTGGGTCATATATATTCAGAAGAATATAAATGCTGGTATTGACATAAAGGCTCAGATCAGGGTGGACTAGAAACCCCTGGGCCTGTATCTCCTGCAGTTCTGATTGAACTCGCAGAGAGGCCAGAGATAAGAGAAATCATTTGACCTAAAGTTTGCTATGATTCATTCTTGATGTCTCTAGCTCTGCTCACATTACATCACACTCAATTAAATTGCCACTTTGCTTTCATTTATTTCATTTTTCTCTCTTAGGAGGGAAAAATTTTGCCAGACAATCTTCTAGAGAAACTGTTTCAAAAGCATGAAGCTCACAAATCTGTATTATCTAATAAAATGACTTAACACTTAGATATTTTAATTTAAAAAATGGCTTCATGGGGGCATTAAAATACATATTTCTGTCTAAACATGCCAAGGTCAGATTATTTGGGATGTATTCTGAATTATCATTTCCCCTTTCTCTTCCAATAACTGCCTGCCCCAGCTCTCCCTCCTCCCCTGCCTGTCCTCTCCCTGCCCTCTTTTAAAGGTAGGAACAAAAACACTGCCTGGCATGCTAAGGAATATATAGATTGCTCATCATTCAGTTCAGGTCTGTTTGCCATGCAAATGTTTGACTTGCATTAAGATGAGAAATGGACCAGAGTGTTGAGGAGAAAATATATGGACATAATGAGTCATGGTATTTGAACTTCATTTTGATCCTTGGCCCTAAACTTCACATGCTCACCCATCAATGGTAACACTATGCAGTAGGGATTAAAGTCAGCCTGATAAAATGCAATATTATATATTATTATGTGGATTGGTTAAAAGTATAAGCTTTGCTATCCCACATACCTGGAGCCATGTCCTGACTGTGTGACTTTGGGCAAGTCACTCTATTGCCCTTTACCAATAAAAAAATGGGCAAATGTGACTGCCTACCTCAGAGAATTGTCATGAGGCGCAAAAAAAGATGATTCATACACATTACTTAACACAGGGTCTGGCGTGTACTAAGTGTTTAGAAGTAGGGAAACAAAGAACCTGGCTGGAGCCTGTTCTTCACTCTCTTCAAGATCATAGACCAACTTCTCTGCCTAGAGAGATTGAGATTCCGCTGACCACTCTGGTAGCATGGAAATATGCCCTTTCCCAGAGGAAGGTTTATCTCTGTATCCTTCTTATCTTTACCTTCTTTTTTCTCACCCTCCCAGGGATAAGCATAAAAGACACATGTCCACATACCTCAAAAGGTAGGACACTCCTCTCCCCATATTAAGCCAGGAGGCCACAATCGGTTCTGTCTGGAATGGTCAAATGGTGGTTCTACCTGGAAGCAGTGGACTTAGTCTGGAATCAGATTCTGGTTTCTTCCTATCTCATATCTTGTTCCTGTGTGTTCAGAAATGTATCTCTGAGTGATCCACTGACTTGCTAATTTAGTGCCTTTTTCACTTTCCAGTCCCAGAAAATGTCTTTGCTTAGGTTCTCCTATAATTACACTTTGTAATTACAGAGATTTAAAAAACAAAACTAAGGAAAGCAAGGGATATAAAAATTATGAACACAAAATTATTCAATCAGAAAATAATAGAAAAAATCAGGAGCTAATTATTTGAAAAGTAAAATGTACAAACCCCTGGCTAGTTTAACATAAGAAAGAAAGAAGAGGAAAAAATAAAATATAAGCAAAAATGCATAACCTTTCAAAGGCTACATCATATTTTTATTTAAATTGTATATTACAATTCTGTGTCAATAAATGCCTACATATAAATAAAATTTATATTATTTAATGAAAAGACAGTTTACCAACAATGCCTTAAAAATGAAGGGCAGCTGAATAGCTGAATAGCAATAGACTAAAATTTTCAGCTTGTCTAATACTTATCTTGCATAATAATACTAGGGGCAAATAGCTATAGAATAAATTCCTTCAAATTTCTAAGGAATAGAAAATGCTTAACTATATAAAATGTTCCAGAGCCTAGAAAAAAAAGGGAAGTTTTTCAATTCACATTATTATAAAGCAAGAAAAAACAGATACTTCAGTCCATTTACATATACTCCCACTACAGCACCCTGAGTAACAAAAACAACCTTAGTTAGGAATGTTGGTGCAAACATATATAGGAATATATAGGAATGGATATATTTATCTACCTAAAAATGAGCATTTCTAGCAAAAGCAAAAATACTCAAGAAAAAGTTTGCAGCATATGAGATTGAAATGTAAATAAGTATCCTTTAAACTTAAAAAGATGAGCTTTTTCACTTGGAATCTTTTTAAGCAGAAGAGAACAGATAATTAAGAAAACAATAAACTGCATATATATAAACATTTCTAAACTCTTCAATTATTAAAGTAATTTATAAAAATCCAGCATTATCCTCATATGAAATTAGCAAATGATTTAAAGAAACATAGCCCATGTTGAAGGTGAAGATACTTTCATGAGCTTGTAGTCAAGAATAGGCTGGTATTTTCTCTCCGCTTGTCAAAAAAAATACTGAGAGTTTTATAAACTTTGCAACAGTCATGGATTCCATTCTCTGAAATTACATTATGGGCATAATCAACATTTTATACAATGTACACATTTGTGTTAAGGATATTCATTTTAGCAACAGTTTTAACAGTGAAAACCCTGGAACTAACTAAATACACAGGATTAGGTGAATACATTATGGGGCAATCATGTTTTTGAGACACCATTAAAAGCAATATAACATGCTGGTGTTTCATCTTGAGATTTTTTTCAAAAGGCTGATTATTATATATAGTATTGTGGGTATAATCTTTTTCCTTTCTGCAAGAGAATCTTATCTTCTCTTGATTTTCTGACTCTGTTCCCCTTGAAAAAGATAAAGAGTATATATACCAACTATATTACTAGGCAAAATTGACTCCTGATTGGTGGCTTGCATCTGATTTTAGGAATCTTAATTGCTTGAGGAGGCACCATGCTGTGTCATGCAAGTGCAGGGACACTGGAAACTTAGCAGGTCCATTCAGGACCCCACAAGCTGTGCCTGTGGAGTTGCTACACTGTATGTTGACATATGACATGAGACTTGTAGGCCAGGATGGCTCCTACATTCTCTGTATATATACTACATGTCTGCTGTCCTTGCTCCTGACTGCACTGCTCTGTTGGGCCCCTGTAAAAACAGGTGCTGAAGAGGAGCATGTGGTGCTGCCCAGCTGGGCAAGCCAGGGTGCCTTCCAAGTGAACTGGTGCCTAATGTAGCACATGGGTCCGTCATGGGTCTGTCACTCAGTGTCTGTAAGTCTGAATATTTAATAGACCCTAAGAAGATACCTTGCAAGCATAACTTACAAGATGTGTTGCAACTATAACCCCAAATATATAATTACCTATAAAAAAGCTAGTAATAAATAAACTATAAATTTATAGCTATTATCTCTGGGTGTTAATGGTACAGTTAATTTTTCTCTTCTTAATTTATGGTTTTATACATTTCCAAATGCTACATGATTATATATTATTTTCAAATAGAAAGATATATTTTATTTATTTTTAATTAATTTATTTATGTATATTTTAAGTCATTGTTTCATTTTTGTACAATATTTGCTTTTTCTCTCAGGTATAGTCCCCGTAAAATTCCCACCACCAATTCACCCGTGCACCCTCACCATAGTCTTGTGCTCTTCTCTCCCCGCTTTTATCTCTCTCCCTCCCCCTTCCCAGCAGGGTGTATCTGATTTATAGTTTATCATTTTTTTTGTGATCCCTTACTTGGTTCCTCTATATTCCTCCTATAAGTGAAACCATCTGATATTTTTCTTTTTCCTTCTGACTCATCTCAGTGAGCATAATCTCTTCCAGCTCCATCCAAGTTGCTGTAAATGGCATGAGTTTATCTTTTTTGATTGCTGAATATTATTCCATTATGTATATATACCACATCTTCTTGATCCAGTCATCTATTTTTGGGCACTTGGATTGTTTCCATAGAAGGATATATTTTTAAAAACAAATTTGTGTATTCCAGTTCTTCTGGCAATAATTAGGAAATGACCAAACTTTCATTAGAGTTGAAGATGACAGTTCTAATAAAAACACACATGGCCCAAAACAAAAATAGAAAAGAAGAATTTTGTGAAGAATGTTCTTCAAAATGACAGATCTTTATTCTAAGATTTCAGCAGAAGTCTTCTTCTCCAGGCTACAAATTTTGATCCTGTCTTTTCCATTAATTCCTTTTCCCCCAAGTTGATTTGGGGGTCAAATACTCTAATGGGAAGGTAAGGGGGTGAAGCCAGCAGACAGTGAACTGAGCATTAAGAGCCTGACCTTCTGTGTGTATAGAGCCCTGATTCCCATTCCTTTGCTTCTTGGGTCACGTATGTGACCCATAGGGCTAGCAGACCCCAGAATGTGTGCTGAGGAATATTCCATCAATCCTCCATAAATGACAATGGCAGGAATAATACCTTTTAACTTATTTATATTTTATAGTCCTTCTCTAATTTACCCTTAATACAGTCCAGTGAAATAGAAGACATCTTAGCATAGATAAAGTATGTGGTCCAATTCTTTTCTTTTTTCTGTTTTTTGAGAACATTGAGACCTGACTAGGTTACATGATTTACTGAAGGTACTCTCTACTTCTGCATGTGACTGGACAAATAGCCACCCATTTGGTTCCACTTTT